TCTGAGTATATCCTTTCGTTTTTAGTCGTGCGTTGATCGGCCCACCTTCCCTTCTGAAGTTTGCTTCTCTGTGAAGATCAACTTGCACCTAACTATCTTTTTACTCATTGATGGTGGTACTATCTCTCATATTCAGTTTTTATTAGAGCCCTAAGCTCTTAATGCATAACCACTTTTCACTTGAGATCCTTCTTAGCAACCTACCAACACTTTAATATAGATATAAAGTCTAAAGATGCAACAAATGATCCATGTAAAGGTGATATGTTAGAATATGAAATCAAGTTAGTAATTCAATGTTGCCACTCAAAACGATCAGGAGGATGCCCCGTATCACTGCGTGAGGTTCTTCTTAAAGGCGGGGATTACGAGAAGAAAGAAAATGAATCATATCATTAGGGATTTCTAAGTTAGAGGTGGATAGTGTAGCTATCTCAAGATTTGGGAAAGACTGGGATAATGGACTATCTGACACAAGTGGCATTGTATGCAATGTTCTCTCATTTTGCTTTCTTCTTTGAGTATAGACCCTTAGCTCACCTTCAGCCTAAATCTCACCACCTATGAGTTCACTCTACTCATTTTTTAGTTCCTCAACTAATATATCCAAAATCATAAAATAATATATTGCTCCCACTTTTACTATTCTCACCATTGTTAAACAACCCCCTTGCCTCATATCATTAGTATTTGGCAAGTCACCAATGGGTAAGGTCACCTTCTGGGTGTAGTACAGTTCATATTCTCTAAATGACACATCCACGCTCATAAAAAGTTACTTTTCTATCGGGCACCAGCAAACATACCCCTTATGGGTAGCAGAACGACCTACGAACACACATTTCACAACTATGTGATCCAGCTTCCTTACTGTTGGCATGTTATCCTTCACAAAAGATACACAACCAAACATCTCAATGGAAAGATCTCACTATTATTTCCTTTCAACATCTAATAAGGAGACTTCCAATTCAAAACCCTCGAGGGCATTTTGTTGATCAATTGGGCAACAGTTAAAACTGCTTGCCCCTATAAGTGCTTTGAGACATCCATTGAATCACCATGATTCATAATACCCTCTAGAAGGTGTTTATTCTTCCTCTCTGCTACTCCATTTTGTTCCATTATGTATGGACATGTGGTTTGATGTTGTATCTCTTGGGACTAGCAAGTAATCCCCAAATGATTTGTTAGTATACTCTGTCTCATTATCATGTCTCAATACCTTCACTATTGCACCATATTGAGTCTAGATTATCTTGTGGAAGTATTTAAAGCAAGCAAACACATCACCCTATTTTTTCATCAAATACAAACAAGCAACACGAGAAAAATAATCAATAAATATCATAAAATATTGAAAAGCATTCATAGAACTTGTAGAATATGGTCCCCAAACATTACAATGTATCAAGTCAAAACCAATCACTTCAACTACCATTTTCAAAACTAATATAAGAGCTCCTAGTAAGCTTGGTAACCTCACAAGCATCACAAACAAGCTTTTGCTTATTTGCCTTTTCATACAAATAAGGATACAACCAACTCAATAAACTAAAATAAGAATGTCTCAAGCGTCCATGATATAGAAGAAAGACATCGTCCACACTCCTCCCATATTCTCCTACACTAGCACTTTCTACATGAATGTTAAAGTTGAGTCCATCCATTCTTGGTCCAAGTACCAGAGTCCACCATGCTACGTTCCAGTCTGAAGTGTCTGACCCATCATTTTTTCTTAGAAGATCACCTTAGAAATAAAAAAAACAACAAATTTTAGTTGGAGAGTAATGACACTAATAGATAAATTTTTTTTTGGAAAAGAAGAAGCATGCAAAACATTGGACAAAGTTATATAATCGATCCCCCTCACTGTACCCATACCAACTACAGGTTGTGTTGTACTATCAGCAATCTGCTTGCTCTTTGGTAATACTAGGGTAGACTATGAAGAAAACGTTCTAGCAGTACGTGTCATATGTCGAGATGCACTAGAATCTACTATCTATTCTGATGATCTTATGATAGAAATAAATGCAAGAGCATGTGAGAGTGAGCATATGAGGCAATGTTAACCCTTGATGATGACTAGTTGGAAGCATCCTCAACCCCATCTTTTGTTGCTTTCCACTTCCTCTTCAACAACTACAAACACTCATGATCTTCAGTAGAAACTGCACACTTGTATCTTCATCCTCTTCTGCTACCATTAGATTTGCTCGGTAGCCCCCTTCTCTACCTATTCAACCACCATGACCACGACTACGACTTCTACCCTATTGATGTTCACCTATGTCTCTCTCCTTAGGTTGCTTAGGATAGGTCTTAGATGCCTAACTTCGCCACAGTTGTAGCACTTGTGAGTCTCCTTTGAACACTTATCTTAATTGAACTCGAGATAGCCAAAGCTGATCGCACACCCAGATGTCCACCTATCTCTCTCTCCTTCTGTATCGTTGTGACAATGGTCTCATCTAGTGGATGGATAATTGCCTGAGCTAGGAGGAATGATCTCCTCTAATCAAAGGCCAGGTTCAGACGGGCAAGAAAATACATAGTCCTCATCTTTATGAAGATCTCCTCTTTCTTGCACTTAAGATCTCCATAGTTCCACATCGAAGATAAGTGATCAATGTCTGCCCACAACCGCTTTAGATCTATGGTGTATTCCTGAATAGATCTATCACCCTTTATGATTATTTCTATCTCACGTTAAATCTGTAACACCCTCATGTGGTTCTCAATCCAACCATAAATTCTTTTCAGCTTTGCCTAGTTGTCCCTCATCTTTCAAATGTCATCTACTGAGGATGTAATTGACAGAACCATCAAGTTGAGTAGCCATGTTTAGATTAATGCGTGTGTGGTCCTTCACTTATCCCCCTCAACACTGTCACTCTATTGCTCTCCCTCAGTTAAATATCCCTCTAGTCTCTTCCTTATTGAAGCCACTTCAATCTAACATGACCAACTTAGAAGTGTGGTCAGTTTATCAAGTCTTAGATCCACATATGGGAGATCTATTTTCACTTGCATCGAAGCACATGTTGAAGTAACGGTTCTTGTCGAGACACTAGCTCTCTGTATAAGCCCGACCAAAACCTTTAAAACCTCAAGATCTACCTTTCCTAGAAGTTCCGCTCTTTTACTTCTCACACTATCTCTATCTCCTTCCATCCTCAATCACAAGGTTGCATCTCCCCCGTTCGAAGCAACCCTTCATTGATTCAAAGTCCTTCACTTCAGTCCTTATAGATCATACCCCTTCTCTGGTCTTGTAGCAAGAGCAGAATGACAACACACGAAGAACTCCAAAATCCTTGTACCAAAGCCGCTCACATATCCCTGTAACGAAGCGACTTCTCTGGTTTCGCAGCAAGAGCAGGATCATGACACAAAGAACTCCAAAATCCTTGTATCGAAATCGCTCACGCTTCCTTTCATCGAAACCATTCTTTTCATCCAGCACTGGCGCCAGAAGCCCTCACCACCCCCAGCGCCTCTTTCTTCCTTGCATTGAATCCGTTCGTAATTTCCAGAACTTACGCCAGAAGCCCTCGCCGCCCTTACCTCCTCTTTCTTACCTGTGTTGGAAACCGAAGCCTCCTGCTATCTTGTTCTTCTCGATGCAGCGGCTGGCCGGAAGAGAGGAGCGGCGTTATCATAGCGACGACTAGGGTTACACAGGGACGTGTGAGAGAGGAGAAATTATTGCGTACGGCGCATGCATCTCTGCATACGGTGTCCGATCAAAAAAAAAAATTAGGTGGGGCCACCGAAATACATCGGGACCGTAGATCAGGTGATTTACGGTCCGGATCGGACACCGCACGCCAGCTGCGTGCGGTGCCCGATCCGTATGGAGTAATTTTTCGTGAGAGAAAGGAGTGGCGGCTAGGGTTTGACTTAGATATCAGAAAAAAAGAATTTTTCAAAACCTAATTTGTTCATTAAAATTATGTGCTAGATATTACAATGTTTTACGAGTAAACCTCTATTCTTCTCCAACATTCCCTTTTTTTTCTGAGTAGACTCTAAATAAGGTCAAATTTTCAACAAGGCATACTGATTCGATCCATTTAGCTCATCGGCAAAATAATATCGAATTGTTCAAATTTGTCCGCTTAATAAGCAAATCAAAACACCAACATTTGAGTCAAATGAGTTATATAAAAATAAAATAGCATTTACATACTATTCTTATGTATTTACATACCTCACCCCTAAACATTCATATTTATACAAATTGCTCAATTATTTAATATCACATCAAATAACACTTATCACTTTTGCTAAACACTCTTTTTAGTTAAAACATCAAAATGCTATGTACATAAATATAAAATTCTTGGTATTAGTTATGCAAATACATAAGAAATTGGTGCTACACCTAAATTTCCCCAAAAAAATTTTAATAGCCATGTGCAATAGTTAGTGCAACCTTAGTAAACCAACACAGAGTTTCTCCATTCTCACTTTTAATTATTTTTAAAAAAGCTAAACAAAGTTCCCCGACAATACTTAAAACCATTTTGTAAACTCGTCGGATTAGCACTAATCCATAGGAATCAGGACACACAATCGCTTAGATGCTAAACAATCAATTGGGCCTTTAATAATGCAGCACCCTGGCCCTTTTTGCTTTAGAAATCAGGGCACAGTCGCTTAGATGCTAAACAATCAATTGGGCCTTTAATAATGCAACACCCTGGCCCTTTTTGCTTTAGAATCTCTCTCACTTCCTGTGGGTCGGTTGTACAAGACTTTTCAGTGTGTGTGTGTGTCTATATATATATTGAGGTTTAAATGTTAGATATGCAAATAGATCGGAATTGGATGTTATGTATTTAAATATCAACACATAGAAAAAGATAAATTCATTTTTTGACATGTTTCACAAGCAATAATGTAGCCAAGAGCCAACATTCGGGTCAGAACAAGATATGCCTCAAAAAGCAACATTGCAGCCAAAGCCATCTAAATCAAAACTGAAGGGTTAATAACATAGCAAAAAAAAAAATACTAAAAGAAAAGAAGCCAACAAAACACTACAATACAAGCACCTATGATGCCTTTGGCTTCAAATTTCTAATGACAATATCAAAAGTCAATAGTATAGAACTATAGCTGGAGCTCACAGAAAACTCTAAAATTATTAGTCAACAATAAAATTAAAACAAATTCAGGCAAATCACAGCCATTAAAGAGCATCAGAAGCTGTGGAGCTGTGTAAGCATTGCTTCAAGCTCATCACTAGAAGGTCGGTCGGCAGGCAAGTCTGACAAGCAAACAAGAGCGATTCTGATTGCCATCAGCATCTCCTCTTCCTCTTCGCCTTCTCCTAACATTCCACTGTCGAGGGCTTCACGAGCCTCCCCAACTTGCTGCAGGTGCCGGAGCCATGGGACGAGGCCCCACCTCCCCACCTCCCCCATGAAGAATGGATCAGTGGGATCTTTCCCTGTCAACAGCATGCTGAGGATCATTCCAAAGCTATATATGTCGCTTTTATCCGTGTACCTGTTCAATAAAACAGAGAGAAGTATGAAATTATGTGATTTAGCACAAGATTTTGCCAAACGAGAGATTGAGAGAATTAAATTAGTAAATATAATTCTTGAGAAAAGCATGTTATAGATATAAGGTTCCCCTTTAAGAAATCATTCGCTAGGCAAATAGCTTTTTTTATCCTTTGAAATTAATAAATTTCTGTTAGGCAAGGAATGGCTTGCAAAATTCACTTGTATTGCCTACCAAGATTTGTAAATTTTCCTTTTACAGATGAAACCACGCCAAATCAATTCCAGTTAAAAATCAACGCCCAACACAATACACACACACAGAACAAGATAAAAAACTAATAATTAAAAAAATTGCAACTTTCATGAAAAATAAGTCATGTCAAGCAGGCTAGAAACAACAACACAATGTGAATCAACCTATCAAAATAGCTCAGATCATTCGAAGCATAACTTGACAAAGCCTATGTTCAGTAACATAAGCACTCATTAGAGGAGAAAGCTTTAAAAACTAAAAAAGAGTAATTAAAAAAGTTTAGCACTCATCAATAGAGAACTTAAATTTGCCTCAAACAGTAAATCATCAATCAAGGGCGGGGAGAACTTTATGGGTGAAACAAAAAATTCACATAACCTAATAGTTCAATATCACCATAGTTTTAACAAGATCCCCACCTCAAAAGCATCAGCAACTTCAAAACCATAAATTAAAAATTCTTATAAGCTCAATATTATCTTAAATCATAAACATTAGTAGAATTTAGAACATAGAACATACCTGCAACTCTGAAAACACTCTGGTGCCACATAACAGGAGGAGATTGGCGCATCCACGCCAGCCACAACCAGCCTCGCCAATCCACAGTCCCCTAACTTAGGCTCAAATCCATCATCTAGCAACACATTTGTGGGCTTCAGATTGTTATGTAAAATCCTTGGAACGAACTCATAGTGTAGATATTTTAACCCTTTCACCATTCCTACTGCAATCCGATGTCTCATCTCCCATCCCAGCCTCAACTGATTCAATCTTACTCTTTTCATGGCGTCCTCCAAGCTTCCATTTGATACATAATCATAAACTAAAGAAAATCGATCATGGTCTCGTACATAAGCCCTCAAGCTCATCACATTCCGGTGGCTGACCTTTGCTAGCAATTCAAGCTCTCTCTGCACTTTCCTCTTCCACGAATTGGAAGTTGGTCCAGGGGAACCACTAGAACAGGCGGATTCAAGCACCTTTACTGCAACCGTGACCTCACTGTTGAGTGGGAACTTCAAGTACTTCCCATTGGGGCTGGAACCAATCATCTGCAGGGATTCATTGTTTCCGCCAGAAAAAATAACTTTGAGAAACTTGGGAGAGATCTTTGGTGAAAAGGTGACAGGGCCTTTGAGTATTGGGGTCCGGTTGGCAAAGAGGAGAAAGAGACGGATCGTAAAGAGGAAGATAATGGAGGCAAAAACACCAGTGAGGGAGCCGAAAAGGATACCGAGAAGGATTGGCCTAAGAATGGCACGGCTTGAGGATGGGTGAACATCGTATGGTGGAGGGGAGCTTGGAGAAAGGGAGAAAGTTGAATCAGGGGACGGTGAAAGGGAGGAGGGTTCTGTGATTTTGAAGATGAAGCATAGAAGGCAAATAAGGTATTGTAAAAGTAGGGTTTTTCTAATGTTTTTCTTCTCCATGAGTGAGTTTAGGAGGCGGAGACGGGAAACTCGAGAAAAATACCAAGCAGAGTTCAGAGTTCAGGGTGCTCTTCGTTTCCCAGCTGGAAAATAAACTCAGAAGCACCAGGAGGAGAACCAAGCTGGGGGTTTTAGTTCATGAGGTTCTTGGTGGTGTGGGGGACTAGAGTGCAAAGGCTTCAAAGCACACGAATACTGAGCTAAGCCCTCAGTCAAATAAGCCAAACCAGAACCCAAAGTGGCGACCGTCATTTTTCTTTGCTCTCCGGAAACAAAACAGAACAGCAATCAAATCAAGAGCACACCTAAAAACCGTATATTATGATAGCGATCATCTGAGAATCTCAGAGAAGGGCACCAGGTCTCGAAATATATAAAAAAGAAGAATCTTTTCGGGAAAAAAAACACTTTTTGAAACATTATTTATAAAAGTAGATCAATTAAATTTAAAAGCATTCATTTTTATTTTAAAACCTATCAAACCACCTTTAAGTGGGACTAGTTTTTTATATAAAAATATATATTTGGGAGTAGTTTTTCCTTATAATTTTCAAATAAAACGGGAAGGTTTTTCAAAGAACAGTGAATATCTGCGGTAAAAGAAACAAAAGCTACCTTCTGGGTGCTAAAGATTCAATCTGAGAGAGAGGCCAAACACCTTTTGTTTTTTTCTCCTCAGCCCGACAAACCTTTACCTTATCGCAAAGAAAAACAGGGAAGACAGCAGACGACCAAATCATATCATACCATTGCACAAATCGGAATTTTATGTGATAAAAAAAATAAGGAAAAAATGGGTAAAACTGAAAAGCTCTCGCTTCGCGTGACTGCTCTGCTTTCATCTCTCTCTCTCTCTCTCTCTCTCTCTCTCTCTCTCTCTCTCTCTCTCTCTCTCTCTCTCTCTCTCACTCACTTTAGATTTTATATTTTTACCGCGGCACTTCCAAAAAAATAGAAAAGATTATTCCCGCCTATTTGGCGGTGGTCCCCACTAAATTGGCTCCATCATCATCATCAGCCATTATCTGCGGTTTGGCGTGTGGTTCTACATTTTTGTTACACATGCTTCACATTTCATTTTTTTCCTTATTATTAAAAGATCTCAATAAATACAATAATTTAATATATTTTGCTTAAAATTTTGCTTCCAATGCTTAGTGATCAACATGTTCATATTGTAGAACCAAAAACAATTACTTGGACTAACATAGACAGAATAATTTTCAGCTCATTCATCAAAGCCAAAGGCAACAATGAAATGCTACATATAAGAATTGTCCTTTCGTAGAAGCTAGCTGAGTGAACGAATCTAAAGGAGTACAACAAAAGGGTCAACTCTAAACAACAGACAACCAAACATAAATCAATAAAACACTTACGCCATGTACGAGATACTAAATATAAGAATTGCTAGAGGTAAAAAAATCTCTCTGTTTAGGAAAAGAATCAACTTAGAAGATGATCTCTCTGAGATCCCAATTATAGTGGAGATATGACATTTAAGAGAATTGGGTATCTAGAGGTTTAGGAGTGATATAAGTCTAAGTATGTCATTTTATGAAGGACGAGTCCTTCTCAATAGAGGGTATTGGATATAAATTGGAATCTGATTTTCCTCTCTTCAAGCTGAGAAAAAACCTCCTTTAATCTTCCCATTCGATTTTCCACTCATTTTTTATAAAGAAATGTTGAAAGTGTGAGGGCTAGAGCCAATATTCACTCATGTCCCCCTAGCTTAAGAGCTAAATGAAACCCCATTTCTTTATGTGTTGGGTTTAATCAAAGACGTTGGATGAGCTATTGGAACTCACCAATAATCACATATCAATAGAAGAGTATTAGTTGCCTTAGGTCCAAATGAGGGTAAAAAATTCAGAAAATTTCACTTTTGTAGAGGAGCTTCCATAGAGGTGAATGAAAATTGAATTATCCCTTGCAACCAACAACTAGGCCCAAGTTTGAGGAGCAACATCCCCAGCCTATCAACAGAAGAACTCATAGGCCAGAGAGGGAAGTTCTCCTTCTAGAAGAATGAGCTTGATATTAGAAGAGATGAGCAAACCATCAACTAGAAATGAAGTCACCACCTTTGACTCATGAGATCCTCTCAAAGACTCTGTTGAGAATCTCAATGACTAAGTTTTTAGAAGCCATCCAAAATAAGAAATTCTTTTGAACATACTTAGATGAAGATCAAAGTTACATCTTGTTGACCTCATTTTTTATGAGATGTAATCTCTTCTCTTTAGGAGCCTAGAATCTAGCTGTAGAACTTTCATGTTGACTATCCTAGAGAGCTTAGTAAATGAAGCCCTCCCACATAAGAATTCCAAACACTTCTTTACTCCTTTTGTGAAGTCCCACATGAGTGGTTAAAAGCCCTCAAATGTCATTTGGGATGGTCAAGACCAACATGTGGAGACTCAAGAGTGAGTTCCTATAAGTTTAACCAGACCTTAGAACAACCTTGGGTGACTTGGTCTTGGTCACAACCTCACACACACCCAAAACCCTAAAATCACATTGCACTTGACCTATCCCCCCACTCTTTTGGAAACTCATGTGGGTGGTCCCAAGCCTTTAGTTGTTGGCTAAGGTGGTGAGGACCAACATATGGTGGATCTAAAATGGACTCTCCCATTGGTTCTCCCATTAGTTTCATGGCACAAGGAGGGTGATTTCATGATCAACATACCTAATGAGCTTAAATTCCACCAAAACTCCCAACTTTGGCCCTTTACCCCAAACTTCCCCAAAATTACCAAAATGGCGCCACCAAAACTCCCAACTTTGGCCCTTTACCCCAAAATTACCAAAATGGCCGTGGAACCTTAAGATTTCCAAAATTGCCCAAATTCTCAAATTCTCACCAAAAATCATATTGAAGCACTCAAAATTGCCCAAAGTGCCCTAATTTCCCCAAAATTCCCAAGATACCCTTACATCACACAAAATTATCAAAATACCCCCCATGTTCAAAAATTCCTAAAACCTTCAAATCCATTCCAAACATCCCCAAAATCAATTTTAACCACACAATAATCCCAATTGCACCCAAATCCACCAAAATTGGCTAAATTTACCAAACAGTGCCTAAATGCCCAAATTCTTCAAATCACCTCTAATTCCAATATAATGCATTTCAAACTCCCTCAATTTCAAATCCACAAAAAAATTCATCATGTCCAAGCTTAATTGGAACCAAATTCTAGCTCAATTCAACCCAATTTCAAGCCCAAATTCTAAGCCAAAATCAAATGCCCCAAATTGAGCCCACCTCCGAATTCCATTAAATTGAGCCATGTAACCATCCTAATTTCACAAAATTTCTTACCTAAATGCTTAATGACACTCTCCTTGATCAATTTGAGCCATTGATTGATTTTAATCCAAGCCCAAGCTAAGCCTAATCCTAATCTCAAGATCAAACCCTAATTTTAAGCCTAAATCCAAATCCACCTCAAATCTTTTGGATTAACCAAGCTCTAATCATCCCATCCAATTTTGACTTTTTGAAATCATAATCACATCACCTAAGACCCTCTTTTGGTGTCATGAACCAAGGGTCCCTTATTTTAAGCAAGCTCCTTCTCCTAAAATGGTTAACTCTCTTACTCATGCCATTAACCATCAAACCCTGAGGCTAATCACAATTAAACCTTCCCCCGACCTTTCTGAACCAGCTAGTCGCCACCCTTGGCCTGGCCAGTTGCACTAGTGACCAAAAAACCAAAACTGAGAAGGTCACCTATGGCTTAAACCCAAAATTCTACATGTCCAATGTGACAAACTCCAATTAGTCAATTGCGCCGCTCAGCCCTTCTCTAGACCTCAACCAAAAGTGAGGTCAACAGAGCCTGAGGCCTCCCTCTCACCTCAGCTTACTTGCACCAACCAATGAGAGCCTGAGGCTTCCCTCCTGGACAAAATTATAAATAGCTCCCTCCACAATAAAATTTGAAGAACATCCAAATCATAGAGGAAACTCTGCCCAATTCCTTCCAGAAATTCTCACAGATCTCCTTAATGCAATCTAACCATCCTTAGCCACCCTTTCCCACTGTCCAAGCTCAATTTTATCACCCAAATCCTAGACCTTTTCGGCCATTTTACCAAACCTCTCAAAGCTTCAAATTGACCATTCCACAAGCTTCACCAGACCTCAAAACTACTTCGCTAATCAAAAGCTCCCTCTCCCGAGCACCCTAACATAGTCTTAGACCAAGCCTGAGTCACCCTTCAACTGAAATCTTACTTAGACCGCTTCTTAGCTCAAGAAAACACTTCAAGGAGCTTCGTGGACTCAAGACGATCGTCTCTAACCAACCCAATCAAGGCCTCACCTCTTGGGCAAAGGTATAGCTCGAAATCCCTAAATCTTGTCTCAGTTTGCCTCTTGGGCAAAGGCATAACTCGAAATCCCTAAATCTTGTCTCAGTTTGATTGATTGTGAGGTGAACTTATATTTCATACGTATTTAACAGTATGTATAGGTTCGTCTCACTTTGATAAAGGTGTTGGAACAAACCCCGAGTGATTTGGTTCAACATAGAGTGAGATATTAGGTCTAGAATATAGACGGTTCTCAAGTTAGGATGATCGAGGACGATGAACGGATGTCATCCATTTCTGCGTGTATCAAACGAACGGATTAGATCACATTGGACGAGCAAATGGAAAGCAAATCACAGACACAGTCAGTAGACTACGTAGAAAGCACGGTGAATCACGGGAAGATGTGTGCGCTTTCCGAGATGTCGATGTTACGTTGATAGCTGACTCGGAAGTAGATAAATAGGGTATTTTGAAATTAAATAAATACAAATACTTTAAAAATATATATCTTGGTATAGAAAATTCATAAAAATAAAACAAAAATACTCCTATGCTCAGTGAACAGAGGAAAAAAAATGAACTAAAAATTAAAAATCTTTTCCTTTTATTTCGTTTTAAATAAACTAAATGCTCCAGAGAGTAAATAAATCATAAATAATTAAATAATTATTTAAATCAAATGAAATTTTGAGGGTTTGTTTTGGATGACCTTAGGGTTATTCACTGATTTTTTCAAGGTCAGAGGACATTTCTATGGTCAAAAACCCTAATTTTTGAAATATTTGGTATTATTTTAATTTAATAAATAATAAAAAAAAAGTAAAAAAAATTGTGAAATCACTTTTGGTATTTTTATTGTGTTCAAAGGATCTTAGGAAAAATAAAAGTAATATTTATAAAATTTTCAAGCCTTTTTTCTATTTAAAATTAATAAAAAACCAATAAAAATTAGAAAATATAAAATAATTCAAATAATTTTAAAAAAAGGGCCAAGTTG